AAGAATTTAATTAAACTTTTACAAAAGATTCAATCTCTATTCTCCGAGGGATTTCATTCGCGAGCTCCATTAACTTATTACAGATAATCTCAAAGGGAAGTTTACATTTCTACAAAACTAGCTTTTACTGCGACTCTATCCGAACGGTATTAACTTACTAGACTATGTATTCTCCTAGACCAGTGATTCTCAACCTTTTTTGTTGCGGCACATATTAAACGATTTCAAAATTTGGCGGCACACAAAGAAAAAGATAAAAATTATTTACTTGCTACAACACACTGTATAAATAGTTTATGACAAAAATGTACAAAACGGCGGCACACAAAAGTGCCGCGGCACAATGGTTGAGAATCTAGACTATATCAGTGCTAGATTTTTTAGAGATACGTTGAGCTATTCTAGAGTCTAACAAACATCCATCCATCTAAACTTTCTATAATGATTTTATTGGTATGGTTTACTTAAAAAAATTTAAACAAGAAGTAAGCTTTTTTTTATAACATAAAGTGGCAAACGAGCAACAGGCCACCTGAATACGCTAAAATGACAAAACGACCGCTGCCCATGGCCCATAGACATCCACAATTGCAGATGCCTTGCCTACCCTTATCCGACGGAGGAAGAGACGCGCATAAAGAGGAAATTTCCCCTTCCTATGCATCTCGTCCACCGTTAAATCCACTTCATCTTCCCATCCTGTCCTTATAAGAAAAGGATGGTAAAGAGAAAGGGACCTAAATTAGGCCTCCGGCACCACACTCATCAGACGAAACACGGAATTGCTTCCATTTCACGTCTGTCTTCTGTGTGGTCGTGGTATTACACCGGGCGTACCGGCCCTGCAGTGCTAAGATGTTAAAGCGGGCACTACCACTGTTATAAAGCTAATTAAATTTGTTTAAATCTATTATTGTGGTAGTGTTTCTCTAGTGGAAACCCTGCTAATTATACAACTTTAATAACGTTTCAATCTTAAAGAAATTAAAACAAGATACGGGCCAAAGCCACACAAAGAACTCCGGGTTACCAGACTACTTTAGAATTTCAATTAACGTTGTACAAAATAACAAAATTTTCTTACTCGTTCAATTCAAAGAGTTCTGTTGTTGAAGTATGCTAATGAAACTTTAGATGCACACTTAATTAAAGCCATTTCAAAGCTTAAGTTACAGGTTGTACCGCATCGCTGCACTTTAGCTTTGAGTGGCGTTGTGTACAGAGCTTTGACATTTTTATATTTTAATTTACTTCATTGGGAAGCTATTAACAGATTTTTTATTTAACTTTGAAGTAAATAAGCTTTACTAAAATATTTATTAGTGTCTCCATATCTTTATTTCTTATTCTCTATATAATACATTTTACAAGAATATAAAAATAAAATAAAATATATTATATAAGAAATAGAGCACCACCGGCTGCGGAATCCGATATTATATTTTATTGGTATTATAGTTATCAATAGATAATTAATTTTTGTATCATTTCAACAGAAAATACACTAATTATAAGACGACAAATTATTTAATTGCTTTATGTAGGTTCGCAATACTCGATTTTTAGTTGTGCAACTAAGTAGTTCTGAGAAACAATCGACAATCGCACAACCGTCGTGCGATAGCTTAGTCAAAGATGTATAAATATTATTATGAACGTACACAAAACCTATCTGTTAAAGTTTTGTTTTAAACACAGCGCACTCGGGGGATGCTGGTAGAGACAGCAGGGTAGGGGCGGGGGTATGACAAATGCGAATTTTCAACTACTTCCCCAACTTACAACTTCACCCTTGCACCGACTTTGTTCCATAGAACTCCGGGATACGGCTTCACAAACATTATTTTAAACAATTATAAACTACTTGTCACGTTGAAAGTATTAAAATAACATTCTATTTTATGTATCACAAGATTTATAATATGTTTTTTACAGTAATCTGTTCTTTCATACAAAATAAACATCCATCCATCCATCTGAACTTTCAATATATACATTAGTAACTTACTTCTTACTATACTAAAGCTGACAGGATCTCGACAAAATTTGGCTTAAATGTAGACGATACTCTGCAAGAACACAGCCTTTAGGCACATACTTTTTTTTTTATTCCACGCGTACGGATTCGCGGGCGAAAGCTAGTAATAAATATAAACATAATCCTACTAAACTGTCATTGTAATACGAATTAAATATAGCAATATAAAACCTTGAATTGGTACAATAAATGAAATTCCGATTCCATACTTGTGAGCTGTCGGCGAAACGCCTGAAAGTTTCGTATTTGCATATAAATAGTGTTAAAGCGTTTTTGTTTAAACTGCGAGACGCCTTTTGTTGTCCAACATTATCCGCCGTATTGTTTTCATTGCATTGTTTTTATCGTTTACAATTTCAAATGCTGATTGTTCTGTAGACAGCGTTTAGTTTAAAACTTGTGTGCTAAAAGCTTATTATAACAAAATTTATCTAGTTTTTTATCTAATATGCAGCGAAAAAACGTTTTAAAAGTTAGCTATTATAATTTTACATCCAACTAGCTTTCGCTCGCGACTCCGTCGACGTGGAATTAAAAACAATGAAAGCAAATAGCTTATGCATTCTTTAGACTATCCTCTGTATCTATGCCAATTTTCATCGAGATCCGTTTAGGATAAGAACTGTAACAAACACCCATCCATCCATCTAAACTTACGCAGTTATGATACTATTTAACGTAACAACCTTCAAAATAAAATAGAATCATTCCCTATTAGCTGCCGCCCGCGACTCTGTCTGCGAATTAAAAACATTGTTGTGTGCGTTTAGTCGTTTAAAAAATAAAATAAACATCTATCCAAACATTCTTTCCGCATTTATAATATTAGTATTTTATTTATAATATTATTAGTTCCATACATATCTATCAGCCATCATATCTGAATCCACTCCTTTCTCAAGCATATGTTCTGTATCATATTTCTTGTTTTGTCCTATCAAAGAGAATATCAGAGAAGACTAAATATCAGTGAATCAATTTATCAATAAACGTGCGACAGTCGAAATATGAAGTAAAAAATGCCAAAGAAGCGAGTCTATCATTTCCTCAAAGGCCGGCGAATATGTAGTTCCTCTGGTGTTGATGTCTTTGCGTCGTTGACCACCTCAGTGTTCCCGCCGCTCCTTTGCCCCCTTCTCATATAAAAATATACTTTCCGCATTTATAATATTAGTAACTAGCTGTTCGCGTGCGGCTTCGTCCACATGAAATTATAAATTTATTGTTTACATTTGTGAAATTATCAATTGCAAATGTCAAAATGACATAACATGACAAACCATGGCAATCTTGCTTCCTTGATGTTGGCAGCAACTTATGGTCTCTTTCCCACATTAAGTTTTTACCTAAAATATTTACCCCCTTAGTTTAATGGCGTGAAATATATAGCCTAAAGCGTGACGTAAGTATAGGGTTTTTTTTATTAAAAAAGTAATTATTCAAAAATATGCTGTAATTGCTGAGATCTTAGGCAACAAAGAAATGTGTGTTTACGCTTTATTATAATAGTATACTCGTAGATTAGAATAGGTATCTACAGTTACAACTAATACTCCTGTTGTGTCCTATTAAGAGAATATCAGAGAAGCCGAATATCAATAAACGTGCGACAGTAAAAAACATGAAGTAATGCCAAAGAATTCCTACAGCCCTCCATGTCGAGGTCGTCGGCTCGCCACGGTTCTAATTAAATACCAGAGCCCTTTTATGAATAAACTCAAATTAAAGTCAGATCTTTTGAACGTCCTTTGTTCTTGTCCTCTCAATTACTAACATCGAAATTATTAAGCAGATTTTAATTAAGAATAAGGAAAATTAATAGCTTTTTAATAATATTCATTACTGATTACTTAAATTGTAATATTGTTCGGTACAGTTACACTTTATATTTAACTAGCTGTGGCTTGCGAATTCGTCTGCGTGAAATTAAAAGAATTAATGAAAAATAGTCTATGTTACTCACAAATTACCTATCTAACGGTGAAAGGATTTTTAAAATCGACCCAGTAGTATTTCAGTTATTTCAATACATACAAAAATCTTTATAATAATAGTAAAGATTTGCATAAAAATGTCACTAAAATAATTTTTAAAGATATTTTCTACTGTTATAACTAATAAATATATGTTTATTGTTCGGTTACTAGTGAAGTACCAAGGCACCATAAAGTCGGGTACACATGAACTCGGAGCGGAAAGGTAATAAAGTTAATTGTTAGCGATCTTTACGACACAACTTGTGCTATTCTGCTGATTTAGCTGAGCATAAAGTTACCTGGCTCAGTCAGCGGATTGGCTCAAATATTTACTGTAATGGAGATAATTCTGATAATAACTTGAGAAACAAGTTAGTTTGTTAATAGGTCGAATCGAAACAATTTTTAGGTAGATTAAATAGACGAACATATCAGTTGTCGTTTTTTAATTCTTGTGTCTCAGTTTTAGGGAAAATTTAACTAGATGGCGCTGTTTTCATTTAAGCCTAGGTAGTGTAATATGCAATGACAACTGTTTATTGGGAAACTTATTGGTTTTTGTTTATATTATAATATTTCAAGTTGTATTTAACTGTTATAATTACGTAAATTTATTTCTACATACAAAAGACCGGCTTGACAGAAACTTTAAGTTTAAATTGCTCTGCATCTTGAGATAAGCAAACAAAGCGACTTTGAGAATTTGTCAACAGACTATAATTGTAGTTTATATTTAATTTCGTAATACAAATGGTTTTTTATATTAACACATCTTAGTTACAAACATTATAAATGCGAAAGTGTAGATGGATTCATGTTTGTTAGAGTTTGTGGCTCGATTAAATTTGTCTTACTTACTTTAGGCAAAAGCTAGTAAATAAAATGAATGAATAATGTAATTTGAGTGTTAGTCAACCAAAATGTCCGATAACGATTGGAATATGTTTAATATTACCCATTGATGTGGAGATAAATAAAAAAATATAAAATATTGTGAATGCTTTATTCAGTGCATTGACCAAGGTACATGAAAAGGATACACAATTACATCATTTCGTCTGTTATTTAGTGTTTGCCCCACTGTCCACCCCAGCCGCCGTGTCCACCCCAGTTGCCAGCCCAGCCACCGTTTCCACCCCAGCCGCCAAGTCCACCCCAGTTGCCACCCCAGCCGCCGAGACCGTATCCGCCCAATCCGTATCCGCCAAGACCGTATCCTCCTAGACTATATCCAGATGAAATAATTGGTGCAGCGACAGTCTTAAGGACGGGCGCTGTGATGATGGGGGCTATCGGGGCTGTGATGATGGGAGCGGATACAGTCTTGATAATAGGAATGGGAGCAGCTTTGATTAAATTCGCTGTGGAGATCGCTGGTGCTGTGTAGATGGGGGCTGTGATTATGGGCGCTGAGTAAGCTGGGGATTAAAAAAATATTAGTAATTAAAATGATGGATTTATTTTTTAAGGGTTATGTTATCATTGATTTTAAGCCATACTAGCTGTTCTCGTGCGGCTTTACCCGCATGAAATTATTTTTATTGTATAGATTTGTCAAATTCTCAATTGCAAATGTCAAAATTACCGTTACCATAATAACGTTGCTTTCTTTATATTGGCACCTTGTAGTTTATGGTCGCTTTTCCACGTGAAGATTTTTTTTTAATTTATTTACCTCCTAAGTTTAATAGCGTGACGATATATAATCTAAAGCGTGTCATAAATGTAGGACAATTTATTAAAGAAAGATTTTTTCTAAAATATGCTGTGATTGCTGACATCCTACGCCACAAAGTAGTGTGTGTTTACGCTTTATTATATTAAGTATAGATAAATGTAAATGATTGTAGAGACGACATGCTATAATGAAAAACATGGAATAATGAAAAAACGAAACTTATACCAATGCGTAGCAATTAATTAAAATTAGTACATACCATAGCCTAAGCCACCATGACCTCCATAGCCAGAAGGAGCACCTTGGGCAAGGCCCAATAGACAAGCGACCTGAAAATATTGAAAAAAACATCCAAAATCATGGTCAATCTACACTAATATTATAAAGAGGAAAGTTTTTTTGTATTTATTGAATTAACTCAAAAACTAATGAGTCGATTTTAAAATTATTCCACCATTAAAAAGCTACGTTGTCTGTGTTTAGAGTTGTAGAGGCTACTTTCTTCAATTACCAATTTCACACGGACAAAGTCGCGAGCAATATCTAGTTGACAATAAAACTAGCTTTTAAAAAGCGTATTTATACACAAAAACATAGTAACTAGTTTTGCATTTTCCAAATAATCCAATTATCTTGTTTTTTTTATATCATAAGGTGGCAAACGAGCACGCGGCCACCTAATCCGCCAAATGGCGAAGCGACCGCTGCCCATAGACATCCGCAATTGCAGATGCGTTGCCTACCCTTTTCCGACGGAGGAGGAGACGCACATAAAGAGGATATTTCCCCTTCTTATGCATCTCCTCCACCGTCAAATCCACTTCCTCTTCCCATCCTCTCCTTATAAGGAAAGGTAAAGAGAAAGGGACTAAAATTAGGCCTCCGGCACTACTGTTGACTAATATCCAAGTGGGCCAATAAATCAAATTTACTAAACACTTAGCAATGTGCAATAAACCATTACATACGAGTAATAAATAACATTAGTGCAATGATTTCAACTATGTTACAATTTAACTTCCTTTGCTTGATCGATTTACTAAAATAAATATGAATACTAGCTGTTGCCCGCGACTTCCGCGTGGTATTAGAAAACATACGAACTATATATAACAAAAAGCTACGTATCCCTCTGGAACCGGACATTTCACGGGGATGAACTTTATCCCATGTGTACTCCAGACTTTGTTTTATATCTGTGCCAAATATCAATAAGATATGTTGAACCGTTGCAGAATGATCGAGTAAACATTAAAAAAAAAAAAATTGAATCCCACCGGACTCGTTACTATTCCCGGGATAAAAAGTAGCCTATGTGTTCTTCCAGACTATGCTCTAAACCTGTGCCAAATTTCATTGATATCCGTTCTGCCTTTTAGGTTCCAAACCCTAACAAACATCCATCCATGGTAACTTTCGCAATTATGTTATTTACATGATTTATATGATATATGATTTGTTTGTTCTAGCTATACATTTTCACGCTTTTAAACTAAGAGGGTAAATAAATTGCATAAAAACTCTAACGTGTCATAGGGACAGTTACAAGTTGCCAACATCAAGGAAGTATTACGATGGTTTTTCATCTAGTCTTGTCATTTTGTCATTTGCAATTGCCAATTTGACAAATATAAACAATAAAATAAAACATAAAGTCAAACGGATGAAGCCGCACGGAAACAGCTAGTGTAATATAAAAGGAACAAATAAAAAAATCATATAATTTACTCACAGCTATGTAGGCGAACATATTGCTTGTATTTCTTCAGACGAAGTATACTGTTGTTTGTGGAGGCAACATATTTATACAAATGCAACGATTTCCTGCGACCGCCGAAATACGTAGTACTCGGTTTAGCAATTCCGATCTGTTGAAACATCCATCCTTGTTACTGTTAGCCGACGGAAAAGTTTTACTTTGTCAATTGTTGCAGTTTGCCAGATAGATGACGCTAGTAGATGATCCAGGCTGGTCTAAGGGCCACCATTAATATGTTCTCATTCTTTTTTTATCTATTTCACATTTTTAGATTCCGTAGACGAACAGCTAACCAATACTCATGTTTAGTTAGAAAAATTGTTATCGGCAAATCATACTAATATTATAAATGCGAAAGTTTAGATGGATGGATGTTAGAGTTTGTAGCCTCAACGGCTGAACGGATTTCAATGAAATTTGACATAGATGTAGAGGATAGTCTGGAAGAACACATAGGCTACTTACTTTTGATTTTTTAATTCCACGCGGACGTGTCGCCGGCGAAAGCTCGTATAACATAAAATTACCATGTCTTTAGGAGACCAAAATCACAAAAAAAAGATTAAAAAAGTATTGACTAATAGCATAGTTTGTAAAAGTATAATGAGAGTTTTTAAAACTATTAAGAAGTTATGATTTTAGTAAGTTACTAATTACTCACACAAAGGTTAAAAATATATAGGTTTGTTATTTATATTGTTTTATATTTTACTAAAATTGAGGCTAACCAAAGATCTCTAAAATCATGCAAATTAAAATTAATCCTTGAGGAATTTTAATTATAGCGATTGGTAACATTGTAAAATTCATTTAAACATAGTTATGCGGCCACGAAAGAGTTGCCACAAATGCAGTTTCATTACTGTGTTTTTACCCGACTGAAAGAGGGTAATGTTTTTTGCGCTTATTTAATATTTTTTTATGCATGTCGGTTTGTGGGTATGTACATTCCTTTGTAGCTGCCTATAGCCTAAATTACTGAACCTATGTTGACGAATAAGGTATCATTTTATTCGTCTTTTCCGCACTGTTATTGGGTAAAGAAGTATAGACCCTACATATTACAATTATGTAATTGTAATGTGAACTTGTAATAGCGGGCGCACTTTGATTTTATCACACAACTGTTGTCAGATTGTCGATTGTTTCGCAGCCAACTGTTTATACACAACTAAAAATCGAGTAGTGTCCGCACCTCCATATAACCTCATAGGAATCAACGCACGACTAAACAGTTGTGGATAGTTTAATCGAAGTTGTGCGCGCTCTAAAAGTCTGTAAACCCTAATTAAATATCAAAGAGTTTTCATACAATCTGTTTTTACGGATCACAAGTTACAATCTGCCTGAAAATTAAGAAATATCCCGAGAAAGTTCAGTTTCGTTTCCTGTGACTGATTCTCTAATTTTTCGCTCCCAATATTGGGACTTTGACTTGGGACACTAGGGAATCTTGGGACCCATTCAAGTGGAGAAAATTGGGAATGGATTTCCTATATATTTAACTATCTATATAGGCTAAATATTTTCATGCTATTTAATTTAGGACCTGAATAATTTGAAAAAATTATCTTGCCAGAAAGGGACACATACTTCTAGCCAATAGCAGTAAAGATCGCTATTGCCATTATAACAGTAAAAAAGGCAACATATTATTTTTAAATCGGAGGTCAAAACACAAAGGTGGTTCTTGTTATTTTTGCATACGGTTTTGAATGTTTCCCTCCTGTTTATATAAATTTGAAATTTGGATACAATTGTAATAGTATCAAACGTTTCACAGCAGTAGGAAATCAGTTATTATCGTGTGACCGGGGAAACATAAAAACGCTGTTCCACGGACGAAACCCTGGTGTACTAATGTATTGCTATCTCTTTTTTTCAAACTGAATTAATAAGGATAATATTATGTTTAGGTCCAGGTTTTAACGCAGTGCAAATTCACGCTAAGAGACATTGAATTTATATAAAAATTCCTTCGAAAGAACCGTAGTGTTCGATGATCCGTTAAATTTATTCAAATCAATCGATAACAAACGATTGTTTAAAGTTATCGATTTAATTGCAAATCGATTTTCCATCGAACATTTATCATTCGAATGATGTTAATTGTAGCTAAATTTGCTAATTTAATTACTATAATTAACCTAATTTGTTCGTACATTCCTCACGCAAGTGTAACGTCACTTAAAATAAACACAAACTGTTTTGTTTCATATAACAGTGGTAGAGCCCGCTTTAACATCTTCGCATGAATAGGCCGGCTCGCCCGGTGTAATACCGCGACCACACAGAAAACAGGCGTGAAGTGGAAGCAATTCCGCGTTTCGTCTGATGAGTGTGGTGCCGGAAACCTAATTTTAGTCCCTTTCCCTTTCCACCCTTTTCTTAAGAGGATAGGATGGGACGGAAAAGTTTATTCGACGGTGGAGGTGACGCATAGGGAGGGGAAATGTCATCTTTATGTGCGTCTCCTCCTCCGTCAATCAAGGGTAGGCAGCGCATCTGCAATTGCGGATGTCTATGGGCATCGGTCGCTTCCATTTCGGTGGATTCAGGTGGCCGCTTGCTGGTTTGCCACCTTATATAATAAAAAAAAGTAAAAAAATATGTGTATCCTTGAATAGAATGTTCTAGAATGTTGTCCTTTTTGGTTTTGACAGATAATTTGTTAAATAATTTCTCATGGTTTTTTTTTCGCTCAGGTAGGTTTTTAATTTAAAGAACCAACCGATAGCAGCGCCTCTCGCGGGGCTAAATGTTCTTGTTTCACTATCGGCGTAATATTGAAACGAATTTTGGACACATCGCTTCTTAAATCCGCTTTCAAGGCAGACGATGAAATTTTAATAAAATGAAACGTGGTCTTTTAAGACGCTTTACATGTTTTAATGTCGTTTTACATCCGCCTAAGTTCCATATTTAAGTCTAATGCTTTTTGTACAGTTTGAGAAAATTTGTTGTTTATGTTCGCGTTGTTAAAGACATTACTATAATTTTATTATAGACAGTGATCACTTAATATTTGATTATAATTGTACATAAATAGCATGCCACGGTTGGCTTGACGCGATTTCCACTCCGTCTGAGGAATAGTACATACTTTGTTAATTGCTTCAATTGTTTTGTACAAAAGAGTTTGATTAACCAATTAAACATAACATCTTTCTATAGTGTGTCTAAATAAGATAAATTAGTTTGGTAAATGACATATGAAGTGAATTCAATTTGCATGAAAGCAAATACCATACTTAATAGACAGGTATCGTAGTGACGAAACACACATAGCGAACAATTTTGAACTATCGATATTCGGTTTAAATAATTATCGAACTCAACTAAAATGATTATTTTCTTATTCACTAATTTAGAGGACAATTCTAGTATTGATTATAGTGTAGAGAATTTAGCGATGACAGAAATAATAGCGAAATCTAATTCGATTACGTACAGCTGTAGTAGTAATAAACATTTGTTTACTCTCATTATTTGTTACGGTCATTATTAATTTGAGAAAACAGTGTTTGTTATTTTTTATTTCATAAGTTATAACTATAAATCTATCGATTCCAACTTCTTTATGAATAAAAATCGAAAATCGATAAGATTAATAACTGATTTTACACAACCCATCCCTACTAAATTTGAAATGAATTGTCAAACTAATCTAAATTATTTAGACAAACTATAACTGTCGAAACATTTCTTAACACATTGGTTTACATTCTCTTTGACAAAATAAAGACTGTTAATTAACAATAAAAAACACACTGATATCTAAATTATTAATATTACTGTCTACCCCATTTTGAATCGAGTATCATCTTTCTTTAAACATTGCGTTATAATTCAAAGAATTCCATTATTACTGTACAAAGAGCTTTTCTCACTAAGAAATGAAATTACAACAATATCTCGGAGCCTGGTACGTAGGAAATGAACAGAGCGCCTGAGAATTTTAATTAGCACTTCACGTTGACCACTTCACAGTTTGCACAGCTTCTGCAGCGCTTTATTGCTTTAAATGATTCTAGTGTTTTTATCTTTTTATTTATTTTTAAATACAGTTACAATGTGTTTTAATTAGTGTTCATTGGGTATTTTGTTCTATCTATGAAGTTGTCCGTGCATGGTATAGGCTGTATTAGGTAACAATATTCTGTTCTGGATACGAACAGTGCTCCGGTAAGAGTCTGGTACTACCTGGGTCTCCCTTCAGAGGCTTCCATGAAGATTTGACCCTTGCTTGTACAACTAAAAAACTACTTAAAAACATTTATTGTTTCCTTTAAAACTAAATAGACACTTCCACGGTTGTAATGTATTTTTTTGAGTATTATACTTAGTACACATTTACGTACAAAGATAAAATTTATAACTCTAATAGCTGTTCCCGAGCGGCTACATCCGCATGAAATTACGATTTTTATTTCTTTTTATTTGTCAAATGTCAAAATTAATGGCATAAATGACAACATTGCTCCCTTGATGTTGGCAGCAACTTATGGTCTCTTTTCCACATAAGGGTCTTTATCCAAAATATTTACCATCTAAGTTTAATGGCGTAAAAATATATATCCTAAAGCGTGACGTAAGTGTAGGGATTTTTATTAAAAAACGAATTATTCAAAAATATGCTGTAATTGCTGACATCTTTGGCAACAAAGAAGTGTGTGTTTACGCTTTATTATAATAGTATAGAATTATCTATAATTCGAATAAATTTTACATCATAAGTGGAGTTTAATAAAAAAAGGTTATACTCTTCTTTGATTGTGGAACCTAAAGCTTACACACATAAACGTAAACATCAATATTTTAAGCATGAATAAGCGAGGCGTAGTCGCTTAAAGGGTTTCATTGCTCACACGAACGATCACAGAGTTACAAAGAACAGTAGACAGGTCGTGATGAAAACTGTAATAACTTAACCAAATGTCCAAACCAAACTTAAAGGTGGGAATACACGTGCCAGTGTGTTTACGTGCCAGCCAATTGACGTGCAACTAGCCAGTAGCTAGTAAAAATTCTGTTAAAAGTTCTAATAAAAGCATTATCAAATGAGCAGAATTATAGTGAAAAATACATTTTGTAAAATATTTAAAGCAAACAAAGGACTTTTGCGTCGTGTGAGAGAAATAAAAAAGGGGAAAAGCTCGCACAAAGCTTGCACCCTGAGGGAAATAAGTAGCGACTAGTAAATTGTTTCCGAAGCGGGGGAGGATTTAAAATTCATTACATATCTGCCGCCCCCAGGGACGTTACAGGGCTTGAGGATAATTCATTTGGTAACGACCAAAATTCTATAATAGCTTTGTCTTACATTGTAAAGAGGAAAGATTTGTATTTTTGTATGCATTTAAATAACTCAAAAACTGCTGGGCCGATTAAAAAATTCTTACACCATTAAAAAGCGAAGTATTAAGTGAGTTACATACTTAGTTTTTAATTTCACGCTGACGAAGCGACAGCTATAATAGAGGAGAAATTTATTAAAAAATCAACAAGTAATGAATCAAAGTTTGCAAGATAAAACTTTTAAATTTCAACAAAATCACTAATTGCATCTGCGAGTCAAAAAAAAATCCACATTAGGGTCTCCTTAAGTCAACATTTAAGTATTTTGAGTGCGTATCAATTGTAAATAAGATGCACGTCAAATACAAGGCTTTGTCTTTAGATAATCCGTTGTCAGAGCGGAGGTTTCTGTAAGGCTTTATACTGCACTTATGCGATTTAAACATCGCATAACACAATAGAAACTATTACAAAACATATTTAAGTCTTATCATCACCAGCTCACTATACGTCCTCACTGAGGGGCTCGGAGCCTACCCTAAGTTAGGGTGACTAGGTCATAGTCAACCACGCGGGCCCACTGCGGGTTGACTTCACACATATCTTTGAATCTCTTCCCGATATGTGCAGGCGTCACGATGTTTGTCTTCACCGTAAGAACGTCGGGTAAATTATGTACATATGATTCGAAAAAATTGGAAAACCATTGATACATGACGGGATTTGAACCCAAGACCTGTAGATTACGAGTCAAGTGGTTAAACTACTGAGCCACCGACGCTCTTACTTAAGTCCAGACCCCCAAATAAAACAGATTTAATTTTACTACAAAATTTTAATGGTTAATTTCATCACATAATCCTATCTTCACAGACCCCTGGCTCGGGTGGGATGGGTAAGGGGTTCGATGTATGTTTTCCTTCTGTATTCTGGAAATAAAAAGAATTACATTTACGGGCCACTGAAACGACATTTAAATAAACATTTACATGAAACATGTCTTATAAAGTGTTTAACATTCGTTTCAGTATTCTGCCGAATAAACTACAAGAACTATTGGAATATTATTTACCTGTAAAATACCGAAGTTACCATTATCAGGTGACCTTATTGTCTTCTGTATACGTTTTTGTGCAGAAGCCGCTCGTTGTTGGAGTATCTACGATAAAAAAACATCTTTTTAAACACATCGAAAATGGTCCCTTAAGGTCTATTTCCACTTATCATCTAACCCCTCGACTCTGGCCATGTTTCGTCGATTTTGTCGTCGATTTTAAGTTTTTATATGTATTGAAATAACTCAAAAACTGCTGGGCCGATTTTAAAAATTATTTTACCATTGAAAAGCTACGTTGTCTGTTTATAGCATAGGCTAAATATTTTTTTAAATTACACGGGTGTAAAGTCAGTCAGTGGAGAATAAACAGTGGTAGTGCCCGCTTTAACATCTTAGCACGAATGGGCCAGCACGCCCGGTGTAATACCACGACCACACTGAAGACAGGCGTCAAATCGAAGTAATTCCGTGTTTCGTCTGATGAGTGTGGTGCCGGAGGCCTAATTTAAGTCCCTTTCTTTTTACCACTCTTTTATTATAAGGAGAGGTTGGGAAGAGGAAGTGGATTTGACAATGGAGGAGATGCATAGGAAGGGGAATATCCTCTTTATGTGCGTCTCCTCCTCCGTCGGACAAGGGTAGGCAACGCATCTGCAATTGCGGATGTCTATGGGCAGCGGTCGCTTCGCCATTTTGGCGATTTCAGGTCGCCGCTTGCTCGTTTGCCACCTTATGTTATAAAAAAAATAAACCAAATTCTTCACCGTTAATCTTCTCTGCTCCGCTTCAGCGAGCTTCTCCTCAATGCGTGGCAATGTGATATCTGCACTGGGGGGCTGCAGAAGGCGCTGTAAGTGGGGAGGGGGCGATGCCATTGGTCGACCACCACTGAACTCTTCTAGAGGGATCTCGTATGCTACCGCTGGTTATGAAAAATATTTTAGAAATGTAACTCACTATTTAAAAAGCAAATTTTACTGCTGCTGGTGCTGAAATTTCCATTTATATTACATTTACTTAGTAATTCATTACCTGCTTCAGAAACGCATTTCATTAATTTAAAGATCTTAAAACACTGGATGGTTAAATGTAGTTGGGAAACCGAGCATTAGTAAGGTTTTGTTCTTCACATATGTAGGGTTGGGGAGGTAAAACAAACAGCCGTAAAACAAACATACGTTAGTTTCACTATTCTATAACTATTCACAGAAATCTCATAGTTTCACTTACGTGGTTTAGGTTTGACGGGCGTGTCGGGTAGCACGACAGTCGGCAGGTCGTTGTCATGGTGACCATTGACCTGTTTCCCATTGCTTTTAGCTTCGCCATTCTTGTCGGTGTCCTGACTTGATATAACCTGACCTGACGATCCGCAACCCATTGTCCCACACAATACACACTGTTCACAAACTTCAGTTGAAATTTTTAGATGAAAGGATTATAGTTATTGGATACGTTAATGGTTCCAGTTAATAGTTTCATTTATAAATAACGAGATGTCCAGCATTTTGGCCTGTAAATAGAAGTATAGGGTTTGTTTATGCATTTCATTCCCAGGCATGAATGTGTCAAGAATTTACACTGTTTTCTTTTCTAAATTACTAAACTATCTATCTTTATAAAAATGACTGAACTAGATTGAATGTCAAAAAGAGATTGTAAATCTGTGACGTAATAGAAACGGCCGTTTTTTCCGCATTTGAATGATTGGAGCTGTAGATTACTCAGAAAATATTGCCCGCTATCCATCCTGTTCCCCTTGTTTACGAGAGATGAGTTCGCGCTTACAATTTGTTTGCAAGGTTTTATGGTTGTACTTTTTAATCTATCGAACGGCGTTTTGTTTTCAGACAGTTTATAACGTAGCTATAGTTTTTAAAAATAAAAATGACAGAAAACGCGATATTCGAAATTGTAATCTATTTCAGTTCTAAATTCAAATTATGTCTTCCAACTTTTGTATTTACTACATTAGTGACATAGTTACGTCAATAAAAACATTATAGGCCATTTACGTGTAGCCTTGAGTGTAAATTATGCAATGTGAATGCAAATTTCGTGAGAACTTCCAGCCGACATCAATGTCATACGTTTGATAAATTCATATTTAATTTGAGTTATCTTAGAGAATAATGAAGACAAAAGTTTTAAATAACACGAAATTAATGAACAGAGAATAATTTCTATATCTTTTTAAATAATAGAAACTGCTAAAGGTTGTTAACAAATCACAAAATCGTACACACAATTTGAACTAACACATAATTGTGCAAAATGTTTCAAATATTCTATCCAATATTTCAAAGAACTGTCAACACTGATTGAAAAACAAAATGTAGTGTTAAAGTCAGCACTGAACACTGGTAGACATGCGGCGCGCCGCGGCTCCGGCTCACCACTATCCAATTGCTTTCATATCATATGTTTTATTTTCACCTGCTCACATTTACTTTCAGTAGTCGATAGTGTCATGTCACGATTCAAACATCTTGATATTTTTTGTATTACAAGCTGGAAAACAATCGAAGAATGGAAATCAGCGAGTTTAACGTATGCAGAGTAGTGCCGTTCATCAATGGCCAGAATAGGGTTTATAAAAGATATTCCCTTTTCCATTCTTTCCTTATCAAAAAAAAGTTGGGATAGGGAAGAGGCCTGCCTGCCGTTATCTTTGGACGTAACTGTTTTAATTAAAATCTTATCTATATAATTAAAATTTTAATTGTTCAACGTAGAAAACTTAGGTTGATTGATTGCTTTATTCTCAAGTATCAAGACTTATTACGCCACACACATTCAGGACTCTAACAATGCTTGTACAGAAATTACTAGCGCACTGGAACGCAAAGACCAACCCTACCGGCGATCACAGAGAAAGGTGTGGAGACGAAATGTAATAAATCAATTTGTAAAGAAAATTAAAAGTGCACATTCCAAAATGTGTCCTAAAAGTAATAAACTTAATGAATAAACAAATTTTTAATATTATAATTTACCGATAGATTTCTTATTCCCACGTAGACGGATTCGTAGCAAGACTGTAGCAGTTTGGAATCGTAGACCCACGTAGGTATTCAGATAATATACGACCTTTATAAAAAAAGAAGAAGAGCAGGCGCACAATTTTGACTAAACTGTCCCACAACTGTTGTGCGATTGTCGATTGTTTCGCAGCCAATTCAACTGTTTAGTTGCACAACTAAAAATCGAGTAGTGAGCGCACCTCCATATAAGTTTATATGAATCAACGCGCGACTAAACAGTTTTGCGATAGATTATTATTAGATTATTTTCTGCAATGAAAATCTAGAGTTAGGAAATATTCTAGTCTAGTATCAGTATTGAAGATATCTGAACATTAATTACGAACTTTATGAGTAATATGGATAAGATTAAGGTTTATTACTTTGCAAAGTTACAAAAGTTTTGATTATCTATGTTATATAGTCTTATTTTGTTTCCATGTACTCGTAATGTTGTTTACGAACTTGAACAGACTACTGTCGGGTATTTATTGATTTTCTGTTATCTTTAATGACTGCTTGAACTAAGTGTACGTAAATATTTATTTACTTCGTCCGATAAAGAGAAATTAGTTTCAATTATTACATAGAGTAAAGTTCTTTTTATGAAATTTATTTCAAATTTAATAAATTGTTGAAGTCAAATACTGAATAATTTCAACGCCTGTCATTATATTATAGCAAATTCTCGTAAAGTTAACTTTTAGTGCAAAAATTAAAGTCCACAAGGGATTTTCAATTTGTTCTTAAATGATTCAATTAAACAAAATAAATTTACAGCTACTCTATACCATTGAACAATAATTCCTCACAGTTTGGCCAGCAATCATCGACCAACACCTACCATTGATTGCCCCCTACATAATGCATAGACAACCACCCTCTACGACCCACTGCTTTGAATTACTCAAACCACCAATATATCCAGACCTTTAGGTAAACTAAACGTTAGAACTAGTCAAATATTAAAACGAAGAACGGAGACCATCAAATACTGGTCAAATGTCTCGTTACGTTAGTTATTAAATGCATGTCACTAGTTCTGAATCGATTTTAATAATTATTATATGTAACATTTATATAGTCTGCTATTCTAGCAGTAACGTTAACTTTTACGCGGAATTAATGTTAGAAATACAACGAAAATGAAACTTTCTATTACCGTTTCCTATAATTGTTAGTTAGAAATTAAGTTTCTAGATAAAAATGAGTAACAATACAATAAAGTCTGACGGTACCCAAATATGACGCCTGAAAGTAGGGAATAGCAATTTATTGTAAGCAGAATGTGAATAAAAATCTGAATATTCTGACCCATTATTCTATGTTAACTTATTCTTCTCAACTTTTTAGGAAGCGTTTTTTAATTGTATTTCCTAAATCGTTAAAAATAATTAATGTTTTAAGAAGATAATAATAATACATCCTTACCTTACATACTTATTAAAGGCAGAGTACCGCATTTTGTGGAAGGCATTGGGGAAGACCTATCTCCAGCAGTGGGCAGATAATCCTGATCATGATAATGATGACATTTGTAAAATACATTATTTGCTTTAAATATTTAAACAGGCGCTTTAACAAAAATAATAAAGCGTTGTAACCAGAAACAACACACCAAGATAAAGATTCAGTAATACTATATCCACTTGACATACAATAAATATTTGATTGTTTGCATGATATCGTAACTTGCAAAAAAAATTTATTGTACTTAGCAATGCTCAGATACAATCCTTTTAGTCGTTTCGCTAACAAAAGCTTCTACTAAAAGCTTAAATTAATACAATGAAGCTTCGGATTCGGCAGGTAATATATAACCGTTCGATATATGACCTAGACGAGCTGCCTAAAAGCCCTGACACTAGGTGAAAGACCTAATAAATAACACATGTGGCCTGCGTCGGGTCGTGACCGAGTTTGCGATCAACTACGGGCGTTAGGTTATTAATTTGATTCCACGTCAAATAATCTTGTCCAGAATATACTGAAAATATAGTTTCATCATATATTATTTAAATTGAACTTTATATGGTTAATCGATAATAGAAATTAAATCTAAATATATTTTATTTTTCTGTTCAATAATAAGATATAGCGCCATCTATTTAAACTTTTAAACAACACAAAAACTTTTATCGGAAAAGTATAGTCTTTGATTTTGTACCAATAGATGGCGCTACAAGTTCTTGCTGCATGAAAAAGTGACTTTTTATTGATCAGGGATGGCCAAAGATTATTTGCAAAAACTACTACAGTTACATTTGGAAATAGAAGCATGGAGTTTCAAAATTTAATTTTATTCAAATAATTTCACAATCACTACAGACATTACATACAGTGAGCGCTTGTTTATTTTCATACGTGAAATTTTTATCTTTTCATACCATTTTTACAACTGAATTTAATTTTTTACTTTAAATACCTTTTATCAAGTCATTATCATTCAGAAGCGTTAAAAAACTATACACATCATTTAAATCAAATAGGAATATTAAAATAAAACCACATAATATTACGTCAAACAACCACAAACCAATCAAACAACTCTGATAATAAAATCTCCTAATAAATCCGATAATAAAAAGGCTAAATAACTGTTCGAATAGCAGTGGGTAGCTCGCAACCACGCAGTTTACTTTAAAAGGTAGATTTTAGGGTCTGCGATTCGATGAAAACAAACACAGTTCATCGACCGGTTAACGGATATCCTGAGGCTTAAAGCTCAAAAAGGAATCGCAAATAAATACTTAATGTTTGTCAAACAAGTGTAGCGAAACTTAAGTTTTAAAAAGCTTTAAAGCAATAAATCTGAGACCAGATTTACGAAGACTTGTGTCACCAATGAAAATAAAACATGGATCTTTCTAGATACAATAAACCTCGATAACTTAAAAACCTCTATAACTTTAAAAATAATATCTTCCCTTCCCTTCAGAGCCCAAAACCTCTACATCATAGACCCTTGATAACTTAAAACCTCTCTAACTTGAAATATTTTGTGTTTCCCTTGCACTTTAACTTATCGAGGTTCTTCAGTATATGAATAGCCTTGTGATCTTTGTAACCTGTGAGTTGTTCCAATGTCCTATGTCTGTGATAAATTATATTTAGATCCGTCTTCAATACTGGACATGAATAACAAACATCCATTCATATATACTATCGCATTTATAATATTAGCAAAATTTCAAGTTAACTTTTGCTTTTTGTTGCAATTTTGTATGCCAATGTTAGGTTTTCGGCCGAGACTCAGTCCCCGTGGAATTAAAAAAAACAAAAGCAAGAAGCCTAAGTTTTCTTCCAGACTATCCTTTACTGTATGCCTTTTATAAATTATCCGTCTAGCAGTTTAGATAACAAACTAATAAACATTCATCTATCAAAACATTCGCATTTGTAATAGAAGACAAGTGAAATATATGACGTAAAAATCGATTTAAGAAGGGTACATAACCAAATAGCTATCTTTTATCTTTATTGTCAAAGTTTTGCGAAGATGTTATTGTGATAAACGAATGAGATCTATGATAGAT